AACAACCGAGTCATTACGAGCTTCGAGAGTGGCTAAGTACTCTGTACCAAGCCCCTCCCAAGCGTCATCAAACAGTGAAGAGTAGCAACAAGAGACAGCTGCTAAAAAAGCTGATTTAGAAATCTAAGGGAGAGGAGAAAAATACTGATGATGATGTCGAACCATTATTGTCTTGTGGTCCATGTAGCCGTTGTTCGCCTTTGAAACTGGATAGAGGTACATCTGAGAATGGCGATCAGAAGGTAACTCACGTCCATGGTTTATTGAACAATTTAAGGTCTGATAACATGGCTGTGTTACAGGATCCAGGACCTGGTAATTGTGCCGACTTAAGAGTGACGGGGAGTGCAAACACAGTGTTAAATACTTCTTTTCCTGATTCAGATGACATCATTATTGCTCCCTGCTCAGATCTTGGACATAGAGAGCTATAAGCTACGCAAACGCCTCTGCAGCCAACCGAAAAAGATCAACCGTTAAAGATCACGGAAGAAAGCCACAGGGAGTTTTATCCTACGATGAGGCATCCTTAAATGTTCAAGCACTATGTGAGACGAATTGAATAAAAAAGACTTCCTCACAGCCACTGACCACCATCTTAATACCTCGTCAAAAGTAGCAAAAATAAAATCAACATCAAACTTGGCTAGTTCTGATATCAGTAATAATAACTTTAGGCCTGATGAGACTTCGGTAACCTCTGTTACCGGCAATATGCCTGTTGCATGTGCGAGTGATATTTGCGCATGTGGGCATGATGACCAGATGATGCCTCTACTAAGGTGTTCAAATCAGGTTCAGAGCACAAATCCGGAGATGCAGGATAAAAATGAGAATGACTTTGAAAGTAACGGAGGAATTTAAAGGCAGGCTTCAGTTAGTGAAAATGGAGACAACACATCTCATTCATCCCCCGCTAACATTGAGAGACCCTGCCCTGATTCCAAGGATGAATCTATTCACACCAACAAAGTGGCTCGGAAAGCTCCCAAACTTATCATGCCAACAGATCGAACACCTAATCGCCTTGGGAAAACGAACCCAAATTCTTCTTTTTCTATAAGACTGCCTCTTGTACAATCACCTCCCCAGACATGGATGTTGTTACAGAGGAGAGCCTTACTAATGTTGTGCTCGGTGGTTCTTTGTTCACAGATGAACCAAATCATCTTGGTAAGGATGTGTATGTAGAAAATGATTCGAGTTGTGGTAATTTCAGCATAAAAAACGGACACAGTCACAATTTCAAGAACGACCGTTCTGCTTGTGCACTGAAAACTGGCACTCTGCCACCGACGAGGAATATCGAAATTCACAGTCAAAGTCGGTCAATCGTTGGTGATATCAATTTCAATGATCACACAGCCAAGAGGATCTTGCCGGACGTAGAGACTAGCTGTAGAAGAAAAGAAAGTGACTGGGTCGCTCACTCAAGATGGAAAAGCTTCGGAAAAAGAAGGAGGAGATAGAGCTGGTGGGTAATACTGTTGTGGGGGTTTNGCACTTTAATGATAAGCCGACTGAATAATATAGGTTACTTTAGAAGTAGTCGACTTTCACTACGAAATGCAATACCTCTACGCAGAAAATGGCACAGAGTAAAATTAAATGGTTAAAGGCACGACTCAAATTCAAAGTCAAAGTAAACAATAGAAAAAGCTACAACTTAACCTTCCTTGGTTTCAAGTAAACCATGCTTCAAAAAGGAGAACAGTTCATCGAAACAATTACGGATGACTTTTTCAATGATCACACGTAATGTTTCCTCACCGTGTAAATGATGCCACCACGTTACCAGCTCTGATAGTTGTGACATTGTGCGGCACGGATTAATCGTTACATAGGGCAATCTGACTGGCTATACTGCAAATGGCTAGAGGAGTATCTTACCAGTGAATTTCAAGCGATTTACTAGCGCGATTAGTGTTGGTATCAAAATCACTTAATCATTTAATTACGGAACAAAATTAAGTTTCACTAAACGTAGACACAAGAGATCAATATGCTCAGGCTCGAGTATGCGAATATCAATGGGGACGCTCGTGACCATCTTTTGCCTGCTTTAGGCCACTCAGCTGACTTTGTACGAGACCCAGGTTATCGTAAGACGATAGGACATCAAAGTGCTGAGGTCCTAGCTGTTTCAAGCGAATATCTAAGGCACGCTCGTGACAATCATTTGCCTGCTTTAGGCCACTCAGCTGACTTTGTACTAGACCCAGGTTATCGTAGGACGTTAGGACATCAACGTGCTAAGGTCCTAGCTGTTTCAAGCGAATATCCAAGGCACGCTCGTGACCATCTTTTGCCTGCCTTAGGCCACTCAGCTCACTTTGTACGAGACCCAGGTTATCGTAAGACGTTAGGACATCAACATGCTGAGGTCCTAGCTGTTTCAAGCGAATATCCAAGGCACGCTTGTGACAATCTTTTGCCTGCTTTAGGTCAACCAGCTGCTGATGTAAAAGACCCAGGTTATCGTAAGACGTTGCGAAATTAAGATGCTCAGGACTCAGCTGTTTCCGGCGAATATCCAGAGCACGTTCGTGACAATCTTTAGCCTGCTTTAGGTCACCCAGCTGACGGCATACAAAACCCAGATTATCGCAAGACGTTGCGACATCAACGTGCTCGGCTCCACGCTTTTTCAGAAAAATAGCAAGTGCACGTTTGTGGTATTCTTTTGCCCGGCTTAGTTTACCCAGCTGACTGTGTAAAAGACCCAGGTTGTCCTACGACTTTGCGACATAAACATGTTGAGGTCCTAGCTTTTTCAAGCGAATATCCAGGGCACCCTCGTGACAATCATTTGCCTGCTTTAGGTCACCCAGCTTACTTTGTACGAGACCCAGATTATCGTACGACTTTGCAAGATCAAGATAACTAGGTCCGAGTTGTTTCTGGCGAATATCAAGGGCACACTCACGAAAATATGTTGCTTCTTTCAGATCACCCGGTTGACAGTGTACAAAAGCCAGGTTTTCGTAAGATTTTGCGACATCAACATGCAC